CCCCACATGACAGCTATGGTAGAAAACTATGTCACTGATTGTGATATTTGCAATAACTACAACCCAAAGCCAGCATATAAGTGCCCAATGGGAAGATTTCCTGTACCAGAAGCTCCATTCCAAGATATCACGATTGATTTCACAGACATGGGAGCAGATAACAGAACAAGAGGATACCGATACTTGTTAGTGATGGTCGACCGATTCACTAAATGGGTAGAGGCTATCCCTTGTAGAAATGAAACAGCACAGACAGTGGTTAAATGGTTAAAAAATGAACTTATACCTAGGTATGGGGTTCCAAGGAGTATCCGCTCAGATAACGGATCGCATTTTACCAATAAGGAATTAGCTGAGGTAGAGAAAGCTTTCGGTATAACACACCGTTTTGGAGCAGTATATCACCCTGCCTCACAGGGATTAGCTGAAAGGGCAAACCAAACATTAAAGAGAAAAATAGCAAAGATATGCTATGGAACTAAACTTACATGGGTAGATGCTCTCCCTCTGGCGCTCATGTCCATGAGAACCTCACCAGGGGTCAAGACTCACCTGACCCCTCATGAGTTGCTGACGGGAAGGCCCATGCCAGGACCTCCCAGAGAGGGGGGTCATATGCCCTCTCTGGATGTCTGGCAGGTAAGCTGTGATGATTACATGAAAGCATTGACTAATTTGATTCGAGTCTTGTCTAAACAGGTGCAGTTGGCTGAACCCGAAGCAACTCCAAAAGAGACTCCAGCAATACAGGTGGGGGACTGGGTGTGAGTGAAAGTTCACAAACGCAAGTGGCTTGAACCCAGGTGGGCTGGACCGTACAAGGTAACTGAGTGCACATCACATGTGGTCCAGGTAAAAGGAAAAGCTGGAGCTAATTGGCACCACCTGACACATTGTGTACCTGCCCCACCGCCCTCTCGCACATTAGGAGAGGTTAGGACTGATTTGGCTGCAGACAGTGAGGGCTTTAAATCTTAGAATCAATTCTGATTTTGACAACTTGTTAATAATAGCCCTCTAAGGAGCCATGGAAATATCCACCAGCTGACCATGGCATCCATTTAGACACCCTGGCCTTTGTGGCTTAAGGGGAACCTTACTAATTTTCGTTTTGCTCAGTTTGATAATCATACTCCCCATATTCTTCTGGGCACGAGCTCAGACATTAAATAATTCGGTGAACACCACAACTACCTTAAGAGACTCCAGGCTT